CGGCTCCGTGCCACCCTCCCCGCGCCGTCCCGCCATTCCCGGGCTGCCTGGCGTTCACCCGGCCCCGCCATCCCCCGCGGCGGTGGCTGCCTCGGCGGCCCCCAAGCGGCACAGGCCAGCGGCTGCCCGGCCCCGCTGCACGGGTGCGGGCGTGGGGCAGGAGGAGCCCGCCGGCGGCCGCTTTCCGCTCGGCCCGCGGGGGCTCCACGAGAGCCGCGCCCACCCCAGGGGCTTCAGGGGGCCGCAGACCGGATCGGGAGGGGAGTGCTGGGCACGAACCCCGCCACCGGCCACGCTACACGGGCGGGGCAGGGGAAGGACTGGAAGAGAGGGCAGGAGGAAACGGGGCGCGGGCCGCGGAGGGCTCTCTGTAGCCGGTAAGGAGGGCCGGAGCCCCGGCCCAGCGTAGAGGCGGCCAGGAGGCAGCCAGCGCACGCCAGCACCACGACCCCTCCCTGCCCCTGTCCACGCCCCCCGGCGGCGGGCCCGGCGGCACGCTGCCCTTCCCTCCGTAAACAAAGCGGCCCGGGCCAGGGACCGAGCCAACGGCAGAGGCTGAACACAGTGCAAGCTTCCTAACTCCTTCGCCCCGCTCGGTCCGTTTTCCCCGGCGCGGACGGCCCCCTCCTCCCCAGCCACCACCAGGTCCCGGGTCCCACCTCCGCCGCCACCGCCTCACCTATCCCGCCGGTGGAAGCGCTGCCTCCCAACTCAGCCAGGGGGGCCGCCGCCTCACCGTAGCTACAGTCCCCTTCAGAGCGACCCTAGTGGGAACTGGTGAGCGACTCCTGCCGCCAGCATCCCTCGCCGGCTTTATCGCGCCGCAGCCTCTCCCCTCCGGTAACTCGACGGCCCGGCTCGCCCGTCCCGCCTCCCTCGGCTCCCCATTGGCACACACTGCTCCACCAGGAACTGACGCTCACTGGCGCAGAAGAGCGGCACTCATGCGGGAAAGCCCCTCCGCTCCCTCCCCATTGGCTCCTGAGCGCCAAGCCTGCCCTCCTAGCCCCGCCCCCGCCTCACCCTTGTACCAATCGTGAGGCCGGGAGGGGGAGAGAGTCTCCGATTGGCGGCGCCCGCCAACTTCCCGCGGCTGCGATAGGCCCAGCGGGCAGCCAATTCCGCGCTGCGGCCAGCCCGCCGTGGGAGCGCTCTGAGATGCCCGGTCCCCGCCCCTCGCAGCCTCCCCGGGAGGCTGAGGGACGAGCTCCCGCCCGGGCAGCCGGCCCACTGCCGGGGCCCCGCGCAGGGCGGCGGCGGGCGCTTCCGGGGAGAAGGTGGTCTCCGACGTCGAGGGGCAGCCTGTGACATAAGGAAGCCTCCTCGGTACCGGTGAGAGCAGGACCGATCGCTGTCGCTAAAAGACGTTAAGAAGGCCGGTATGGCTGAGGTAGCCGGGAATGAAGCGGCCTTCTAGGCACGCAGCAGCGTGTCTGGGAAACCTTGGGGAGGCTTCCTCGCTGACGAAGCGATGAGGCCCTGTGAGGTCTCCTCCGCACGGCTCCCTTTCGCCCGTAGGAAACGGGTAGAAAATACGCCCTTCCCCCACAGCGAATAAGGACAAATACTCGTGCCTCGGCCAGCCGCACAACTGCCGTCTTTTTGCCCGAAATTACTCTCGTTGTTGGACCAAGGCGAGCCGCTGGACTCCCCCCCAGAGGATTCAGGCTCGCGGAGAGACAGTGGGGAAGCTTCCACCAACGCTACACCGCAGCTGGTGCCTCGGCCATCGGAACTTGACTTCCCGTACTTCCCACAGCGCCAGTCTGTAAGGTTCGTTCTAATGCAAGTGACACGGACGGAAAGGCACAGCATGAATTCACAACAACATCCTCGGAAAATCCATCTTGGACTGGCCAAGATTTCAGTAATACAAGAAGTCTGGTGGCTGAACATAACAGCGTATTTCTAACCAGTGCAAAGATTTTGGAGCCGATGGTAATAAAACCAGAAACAGTGCCACCACTAACAATTCAAACAGTTAGATAGTAACTGTATTTTCTGTTCAAGTGCCTCAGAACTTCCAAGCCTGAAAAGAAAAAACAGGGAGGAGGGAGAGGGAAAAGAAACAGTATGTCAAGCAATTTAAAATGGTAACACTGGATCTGCAAAACAGGGCTAGAAAGAACAGTGAAGTCACAGGTTCTCCGCTGTCAAACATAAGCCTGTCTTTCAAATACCGTGCTATAATAACCATATCCAACAAAAACAAAACTGAGTAAAAAGTACACTTTTTACAAACAACAAATGTGCCAGCACAACAGTTGCCAGTCTCTGTTAAGAGAAGCTCCAAGTTCTGTTGCACACTTTGTACAACTAAAAGGTCAATTCATGCTCAACTACTTAAGTCCATGTGCACTACACCCATAAGACAGTTATGTGCAGCAACTTGCAGAAACCAGTAGGAACAACTAAACAGGAGAAGAAAAAATTATATACTTGCAGCTGAGAAGAATATTTCAGGTTAACTCCTGTAGGTTTAAGAATTTTGTGAATGGAGTAGTTGCTTATTCTCTTACAACAATTGTACCACAGTCCATATGTTGGGTAATAGAAGACCTAACAAGAAAAACAGGATTCATTGCTACTGGTGGTGTGCATGATATCAGACAACTGGTTGAAGCAAAGTATGTCACAAGTTACATCTGATTTTGAAGTTATCCCGAGTTAGGAGCCCAGCCTGACCTTCCCAGGAAATGCATGTACACCAGTGCAATTGAAATGAGTGGTTGAGCTTCTCAACCAAAGAAAACCAGACCATTGGTACTGAACCCTGAGCACCTGAACTTCACAGGATGCACAATCCTTCCACTTTCAGAGCCCAGATTATCCTGTTACCTGCCTGCTTTACAAAATAGCCCTAAGGATTAGTTAAGATGTAAAGCACTTTTCAAAGTATATTACAGTACCAATTATTAGTAATTATTATCAATGTGGGTAAAGTCCTCAGTAATTGAGGCTTTGAGTCTCAGCTCCACAGACACCCACTCTTGGTTCTTGCTGATGCACCATAATGCTTCAGGCAAATAACTGATCCTTTGTTTGCCACCAGTTGTGGTAGTTACAACAATGCTCTTTTTTTTTTTTTTTTTTTTGCTATGAGGCTCTGTTGTTTCTTCATTAGGGAGAGTGATTTTTCCAAGTACAGCCCTGTTAACTCTTGGCAGCCGCTGAAGAATCAGCAGCTCTCAGCTGTTGTGTTTTATTCTGTTGACCACAGCACCAAGCAGAAAACATCAACAACAAAAAAAATCACCATTCCAGGAACACATAAACTTCCAGCACTTGGTTTAGCTACTTTCCTTACCAGAGCAGCATATATTCCAACTCTTTCACATGTCTATTTGTTTCAGTTAAGTCTTCTGCAATATCGTAAAACTAAAGTCCTAAGCCACCTCTTTGTTTTGCAGTGGATCTGTATAAAGCCTGTCACTAACTTGAACAAGGGGATGGAAAAGAATTTACCAGAAAGATAAGCTTTTAAACCACTTGACAGTCTATGTATATCTCACCCCATTAATTCTTGAGCTTCAGCTTCAAGAGTTCTAAATATTCACTGATGACTACCTAACCAGGTAATCGGTTCATTTTAAAAGAATCTTATTGTTCAAAAGCTTCCCTTTTTCCTTCTTTGAGGCATTTCCTTCAAAAGAAATCATTTCAAATTTGTAAAGGTTAACAATCAAGCTTTGGTACTGCAGAATTTTAAATCTCAAATATACTCATCACTCTTGGATGATAATAAGTCATAAAAGTTAAAAAGTTTAGTCACAGGTAAATGAGCCGTATTACATCTAGAAAGAATTGGTTTACTCCTCAAGTAGGGCAAAAATGTAACTTTATGCTATGCCTGTTTACAAATAGTCTGTCAGTTTTGTAGATTGAACATGTTTAAAAACACACAAAACAGCAATTGGAAAACAGCTGCTGAAGCATCAAGCCAGCATCATGCATGTCATTAAACAGTTCAGAGCTCCCCAATTGGCATCTCCAAAGAACTACTCTAGTACATCAACTTTTAAACAAAAATACCATATTGGATAACATCACCTGTCAAAGGAGAAGTAGGGAAAATAGTATTCAAGATACTAGATTTATAGACAGGTGTTAAAAAGCTAGTCCTAAACCTTACCTGAAGACAAGATTCCACGTAATCCATCAGAAGGACCCAGCGATACCATCACTGACCTTAAATTGAAGTTTTTAGTAGTTGCATGAGTACAAAGGAAGCAGTAGAAGTAGACCAGATGTCAAAAAGGGCATCCTTGTGAAGACTGCTGTCTGAGGGCAACGTTCAAAAACAGTCTTGAGGACTGAGAATGAAGTGCAAAGGATGTGAATATGCTCTACCATCCATGCTGAATGTGGCCCTACAGCTGCAGTTCTAAGCCAGCAAATGGATGTATGCAGCCAGGTGAAACTTTTAAGTGCCTTTAAGTATCTCACAAGCAGCCTGCACATGTCAAACAGGTAAGATTTTTGAAAGGACAGTAAACTCAGCATTTTCCTGCATGATTGCAGTATTATTTTTTTTTCCCCACTGGAAGTCTAAAGGACTTGGGGATAATGAAGTGAGAAAACTGAATGGATAAGTATTAATTTAACAATGGGGAGGCAAAACAACAGCTCAGAGTCATTTTCTTCTGTGAAGGAGATCCACAGCCATTTTCTCCCCTCTGAAGTTCCATGTTTGGAGAGGGTGCCATCCATGAACATGTCCTACCCTACCAAAATGCAAGCTTTAAAAACCCGTTGCACTCTTTGCCTAGAATGTACTGAAAGCCCAGCAGGAAGCAGCATGAAATAAATTACCTTTATAACTGTGCTATATATAGCCCCATAAATAAAACTTTGATGAGCTAATGTGGCCAAAATCTTTTGCCCTTGCCGATTAATGACATGCATCACAGATGTTCACATACTAGAGTGTCTTTCATGAGGGTGGGCCAATGTGACAAGCAGATATTAAGGTTGCCTGATAGAACAGATTACTACCAATCTCATGGAAACTAGAAATGTCTTTATTGTATTATGACAGCTATGAATTAAGAACCCCACAATTCATAGGTTCTGGTTCTACCCTCCCAGCTTATTTCAGGCGTCCAATACTCATAAGTCCATCTCCTCTACACCTTTATTGGTGCAGCCAAACCTACTACTTCCCACACACTCCTCAGTCCATTTGTCCTGGGTCCTACACATGCCCACAGTGTTTATTTTGCGGCTGCATTCTCTACTGATTTCAGACATTTCACATCCACATTCCATACTAATTTCAGCCACCTTCAATCTCCACAGCCTTCCCTCTCCTGTCTTCAGGCACGGGATTTTTTTTTTTGTACAGCTACCAGACAGTAGCAATTTAAGCCTCTTCTCTTGAATTCCAGGGTAAAGAGACAATGGCTCACTCCAGGAAAGGCTTAAAGGGAGTGGTGCATTCCAGGCAAGCAGAGGCAGATCAGGATATGGTGAGCTCAAGCCACAGTAGTGAATGTTTACAAGAAAATGCCACAGCACACACTGCGCTATCAGAAACATCTTTTTATTTGTTCCTCAGCTTTTCAGAGTTCCCGATAGACTGCAAGCATCCACTACTTCTGCCACTCCAGCAGTGTTAGCTAGAGGCAAGCACACAGACTCCTAATCACCCACTTCAGGATAACCTCAACCACCAAACCTTTACCACTTCAAAATTCAGACAGTTGGCCAGCAGGTTCTTTCTTCGTCCCAATTCAAATACACTCTTGTTGGGGGGCAACAGGCATCCTTCCTCTTCAGTCAGTTCTGGCCACGCATCTTTAGCCACCAGGTAACCTACCTATTGGTAACATACCTATGCTTAAAGTAGGCACGGGTGGGTAAAAGCTTTTTGCTACCATTTCTGAAAACCAAGGAGCACCAACGTGGGGATTAATGCGGCACAGAGCAAACTAGCCCCGCAAGGGTTACCTTTAAAGGACTGGCCGCCCCTGAAGCAGCGCCTGCTCTCAAACAGCATTAAAGGGTGGCATTCTTTAAGCAGGCAGGAAACAAGATAAGGCACAGGAAGGAAACATTCTCGATTGAAATGAATGCCCTGAGCCTCAGCTGCTGCCTCTCGGTCCTTCCCCGCCCTCCCTCTGTCCCTTCCACAGCCTTCCCATGCAGGACGCACCGCTGCTGAGCATAAATAAACACCCGGCCCCGATTACCCAACAGCGGCCTCTGCGCAGTAGTGCGGCCTACCCCGGGGTCTGCTCCGCCAGGTTTCCCCTCAGGGGCAGGCCGCGCAAAGTCCATACCCGTGCCAGCATTAGCCTTGAGCAGGAGCCCCGCCGTGGCCTAATAGGGGCGTCCCTATCCCCGCGCCTCCTCCACGCATGCGCACGGAGCCAGCGCGGCTAGCAGCGTCGCGGGGACTTCCGGGTCAGCGGTGGGTCGCAGTGCCCTCCCCGCCCCGCCATGGAGGCCGGGCCGGGCCCCGGCGGCGGGGAGCTCGGCGACCCGGCCGAGGTACTGTCGTTCTCTCGGTGGCGCGGCCCGCGGGGGACTGCGGGAGCGGTGGTGGGGTTGTTTCTGCTGAGGGTGAGGCAGCAGGCCCTGGGCCTGCACCCGCCCTCCGCCGGCCGGGCAGCGGGATTGCCTGGCAGCGTGTTACCTGGGCCTACCGTGAGCTCCCTGGAGGGCTGCGGACCGCGGGGACGGTGCCCTTAAGGCCTGCCTGGCGGTATTCCGGGGGACTGCCCCAGCAGGAGGTGTTCTCGGTACCGGCGGCCTTCTCGCTTCTGCCCTTCTCCCAGCTGGCGGCCTGGCAGAGCGCCCGGTCGCACGCTTTCGCGGCTGCAGAGTCGCGCACCTCTGGTAGGAACAGCTGTCTAGCTTTCAATAAGTGTAAACGGGCAGCAGGCGTTGTGTAATTAAAGTCTTGGCAAGTATTTTAGAAAGAGATTTAATGAGCTGACAGGTTTTTGTCCATTTGGAGGGCTGGTTGCAAGGACAAAAGCTGGCTTTTCTAAAGGAGGAAGAGTGAGCTGAGTTGGAATTTGACTGTACCCAATATGTTTTCTACTCTCTTGTATCACTTGTGGAACCATTGGGTTTTAAAAATTAAATACTTCCTGTGACATCTATAAACAAAAGTCACCAGTTCCTTAAGTGTAGCTGTGTGAAAGTACAGGTCCTGCAAGGTGTGAAAGCTAGAGTTTTTAATTGAAAAATCCCCCAAAACCTTTCTTTTGCTCACTCTTGTAATTTATTTCCCCAATGAAAGAGGGAAATACCTAAGCCTTATGTGCCGACAGAGGAGGAGAGAAGACTCCTTAAGGAATGTGCTGAAGAGAGTGCCAGGTATAGAGGTGAGTTCAGTTTTCTGGTGAACTTGGTTTGCTTTTCCTCCACCCTTAATTTTTGTTGCTGTCTGAGGCAGCAAGCAAGGCAGGCCTGTGTCAGTGTATCACTAACAGTTCATTAACAAGTTTCACATAGTCTAAGATTACATTCTGGTGGAAGTTGATCCATGGAGGATTTCCATTTATTAAGAGTTTGTAGGACAGGATTCAGGATTTCTGTAGACATCACAACATAATTTTTAAGGCTTATGCTTTATCATACGATCCCTTCATATTTTAAATTAATATGCCTATGAAAAGTCTGAAAATAGATATAATTAATGGAGTCTCATTTATGATTCTGGTTTTTGTTATTTTTGTCTTCAACTTTTGTTATCTTTGGAGTGCAAGAATAAAATAGTTTAACTTACAACCATTGCTTTCTGTCTTTATGGATGCTTCTGAGGAGAACACTAAGTACAGAACATAAGTAGTCACTCAGCTCAGTTTTTGGAGAAACTGTGTCTGTGTGTGAGCAGACATTTGGGCACCTTTCCACTGCAAATAAAAGCCATGATTCTGCAGTCAAGTAATGATTTCTGTATTACAGCTAGTATACAGGAATCGTAAACTCACATTGTTTTCACAGAATACTTTCTGTCTCATCTTGATTTATTTGAAATGTTCGTTGGTTGTTGGTTTGGGTTTTTGTTGTGTTGTGGGTTGTTTTTTTTTTACAAAGCATTGAGAACTGATGGCATTACTTTTTAACATTGCTTCTGTAACCCAAAGGTTCAGCGCATACCTGTTTTTTAGACACCTGGTCAAGAGGTTTGAAGAAGCCTTCTGATGTGATTGTTACCTACTATTCTGTCACATACTAGTAGATTACTCCTGATGGTGATAGGTGGCTTAGCAGAAACCAGGACTGAGGAAGAATTTAGCAGCTGATTTGCTAAATTTAGCAGACAGGGGCTCTGGTTTCTCCTGAAAGCCAGCCCTTTCAGGGGCAACTCCTATGGCACTGTGATGTTGAATTAAAGATTCAAAGTTCTGCTTTATCTTTCTCCATTGCTTTTATGGAAGAGGTATTCTCCTCTTCCATGTTTATTCAGATACCTGAAAATCTTCAGCTTGTTTGCTAAAATCCAGCCATTTTCCTTATATTTTTATAAGTGAGAAGAGTCGGGTTCATTCGTAAGAAAGTGAAGGTTGGTTATGGCATATTGATAATCTCTGTCCTGGAAGACACGAGAGGAGAGAATTGTTTATTGCCCTTGAGGTGTTCTGCTGAGAGTTCTTGATGGGCAATGTAATTTACTGCCCTGTGTATCTTTATGCAGAGGCAGAAGCAGCAACATGAAGGTGCTGTTGAGAACAGTCAAATCTGAGGAACCTTGACGAATTTCACTTTAGGGAGCTACAACAGTAAATGCAAGATGCTTTTTCCAGGGGTTGTGTACTGTGCTGTTACCTCACTATGTAAGCCTACCGCCCATCACTTTTTTCTAGCTCTACTCTGTTTCATTGTTCTGCATTATATGTGCCTGGAGCATTGTGTTCCCTGTATTAAACGCGCAGTATTTGAGTGTCCTTTTGCAAGAGGTGTGGGCCACCTGTGTGACTGCCCTGACATCCTCCCTTCTTAGTGTATCAGTTCTTGTTATTCATATTATTGCTATACATTTGTGCATTTTCAGTTGTTTATTCAAAATTTCAAGTTTTTTATTCAAATTTTAGATTTTACCTATTCTTGTAAGCCCTCTGTGTTTTGCCATAGTTTCTGTTGGCAGCTTCTATTTCAGAAATGCCTGCTAGTAATTTCAGAATTCAGTTTAATATATGATTTACTGGTATTACTAATTTTTAATCACATGGTATAATACAAAATGTAATGCTTAGTAATTCGTATTATAATCTACAGTTTTATCCATTGTACTTTTAATCTCGTTAACAAAATCAAACCAGATTGATACAGCTTTTTTTCTGTAAAACCATTTTGACTAGGGTACATTCCATTCCCGTCCTTAATTATGGGCTGTTCATATATCAGCCTTCTGTTGTTTTTCCTAGGATTTATTTTGTTCCTGAAACAAACAAAAAAAAGTACTTTTTGCCCGTAGCAGTGGGAAGCATTGACATGTTCTTATTTGTTAAGCTGCACTTTTTTTCTACACTTGAGTAATTATTAATAGTTTTTATGTATGAACCCAATTTTTGTTTATTTATTACTCTCTTAATTTCTTGTGAGTATTTCAGGTCAATTGTAAGCTCACCTATGAATAGCTGTTTCCATTAAAATGTGTAACCTGTCTTTGATGTTCAGAATATTTGTGTAGGGCCTATAAACCATTTCAGACCTCTGAGGGTTAGACTGAAGTCCTCTGTGATGAGTTCTTCTGAATTCTTATTTTTAACAACCCACATGCCCTTGGTTTTCTTTGTCTTACAATTTAGCTTCAAACCTGCATTGCCATTCTCTAGCTCAGAAAATCTAGGTCTGAAATCTCCAAAAGCATCACGGTTTTATCTGATAATAGATTGGAAGATTTTATTCGGTATTTTGAAGTGTTGCTGTTATCTTGCTTTGAACCAAGTAGCCGATACTTTCTCTTAAAAGTGACATCCTATCATATTTACCCTGCAATGTTGGTTGCATTCCTGACCTAGATCTGTCAGAATTTGCAAAGGAATTAGCTGTTAGTTTGCAAAGTTTAATACTGTGCTGTCCAAATGATAAAAATATAATTTATCTTCAAACAAGAACTCAGTTAGCAGATCATGTGCATAAGCTCTGTAAACATCTAGTGCTGTAGCAAAAGTTTCTCCCCTAAAGTCATTGAGCTTTTTTGTTACATACGCATTTTCAGACTTGCATAAAATGTAATTTTATTATGACATACCTAAATCTTTCATGTAATTAACAAATAGGACAGGAGCCTAAAGTTATGGGTGACACTGTATCTTGTGTAGGAATGGCGATCTTTGTGAAGAGTTTCAGTCAGTCTTCCCAATATCAAAATTATCATTGCTGTAAATAAGCATTCCTTTTGTTTCTTGCCATCTTCACATGCTTCTGGCCACCGGGAATCTTTCAATATGATAAAAATCAGTACGCAGCTCTTCTGTGTTTGTTGTCTTCTCTGCATTCCTGACCCTTCCCCAGAGTTGTACAGTTTGATCTGTAAGCTACAGAAAAAGCTGCCCTGTTCCGTAATTCGCTGGTGAATGAAACACGTTACCTACTTCTAATCAATTTGATTTATATCTCTGTAAGAGTCAGACTTTCCCCAAAGTTTTTATGTTGAAACAAAATCAAGACTTTTGGTGATGAAAAATATTTAGAGGCACTGGCCTCCATGTAACTGCCTTCCACCCTGAAGAACTATTTATGCTTCTCTGGTTTAAAATTCTGCACCAGGATGCTGAGCAGTTGTAACCAGACAAGGAGGCTTGCCCTTAGAGCTGTAGACCATCTGTATTTTAGGAAGCATGAAAGCTAATGAAGACAGGATGACTCGTTAACCAGTACCACGTAATTTGTAGTTAGACTTAAAATCTGGAATCGAGAATGTTTCATAACGTATATTGTTTGTTAATTATAGGGTTACATTCTTATACTGCTGAACTCAGTAAGGCCTAGAAACTCTCATGTTATTGCATATTCTGTTAAATTTAGTTGAAAATATTGAAAATCGTATTTTAAACAGCTTTTCCTCTTCACAGCTTTTCCTCTGGCTGCAGTGAGCATGCTTGGTACTAGCTTCTTAATTAAGAAAGGTAAAGTGTAAACATACTTTGGGTTAATTTGGATTTGCTCAGATGAAATGCATTTCTGCTGTTAATACAGTTACTATAATAATATAGTTTCTTATTGTAGTTAAAAGAAGTTCAGACTGTTCAGCTACATGACTTGCAATTCCTAAAATCAAAAGAGCAAAACTTTAAATTAAAATTCACGTTTGCTTTCTGTTGTTTGACAAA